TTGTGTAAACTCCCTATTAGCATCTCTAAAATGGGGGTCTAATGCTGGTGAATATTGAGAACTGTTAAGTGTGCAGAAGAATCCCTAGGAGTCAGTAGAGGTGAGACCAGAACCAAGGCCACCTGGCTCCCAGCTTAGTGCACCTGAGGCAGTGTCTGGCTCAGTGTGTGCAGAGCCCTGCTTGGCATTGGGGCAGAACATCCACTGTTGAGTATTTTACAAAACCCAGTTCCCTTGAGGGCTTCAGCCAGGACTGGAACAGTAGAGGTGGGGGCTGCGGTTCAGGAGTGAGGGGCACAGGCAGGGCTGGGGCATTGTGCTGGATCTGTTCCTAGGGTCCCTGTGAAGTAGAAGGGCCTGCCGTGCTCGCCAAACTGGTTGCAGAACTTACTCAGCCTGAGGGCTTGGGGCTGCTGCTGCCCATCACCCTCGTCTCTGGGCATCTTCCTTCCACACCATACAGATGAGCAGCAGCTAGGGCACCTTAGTGGGTCTGTCTCTCCTTTTCGGGGGGCTGCTTGCGGTGGTCTTGGAGTGTTTGTCTGTGTTCTGAGGTCGTTTGGTTTGGGTTTGGTTTTAAAAGTTTTAAAGGCAGTTCCCAAAGCGACCAGTTCAGGTCTGTCCCTTTCCCTTTGGACTCTGCTGGCCTTCCCGTAGCGTACGTCCAGCCACCACTGAAATGCAGCCACCTCTGGGGTGAGTGTGGCACAGGCAATGTTCAACAGACACAACGGGGGGATCCAGCATCCATTTGGAACCTCAGCTAAGTGAGAAGGCAGAAGGGAGCCCGGGCCCCAGGCGAACACCGAGCTGTGGATCTGTGACACGGCCCAGCTTCAGAGCGGGGATGAGAGGTGGCTGTGTTGGGTGGCCAAGGCTCAGGGATCGGAGGCTGCTGGACGTCTGCCCACAGAGTTAGTGCAGAGAGCTGAGCGCTCCCGAGCCCACTGCTGACACCATAACCATGCAGCAGCTGCTGCTCCGCTGAGCACAGGCGCCCCTGCCACAGAGCCACAGCACGGGGAGAGGCCACTGGTCTGGGACACCTGCAGCTGGGGACGGGAGCATCCTGCATTTTATGTAAGGAGAACGTTTGTATATTTGCACCTAATTTGCATATGGGCAAAAATGGGGGGCATCTCCTGCAGGGGGCCAGTTCTGCCTCCCTGACGGCTCCAGCAACTCCCGGCTGAGTTGGTCCATTAATTGCGGGGGGGGAGTTTGTGATGTAGGAGCTGAGACGACCCCCCCTCCCCCCCAAGCCCACCTCGCTGCCGAACGTCCCTCGATAATCCCTGCTGTGCTGGGCTGATCCGGGCGGTGACCAGCAGGCCAGGGGCTCTGTGGCTCACTAGCGACGCCCCGAGGCAGCCGGTCCCCCCCGCTGACCTCCCCCCCGCACAGAGCTGGCTCTCAGGAAAGACACATTTATTAAACCCGGTTCTGCGATCTGGGGAACTGGCCCAGCCCGGGCCTGGTCTCTCTGATCCCCGTCTCCACCCCGCAACCCGCTAAGGAGGGGCCCCTCCCTCTTCTGAACGAGTTGGCACCCATGAACCAAATCACTCAGAATACACCAGTAAAACAAACAGTGACCTCACCTCTGAACACAACCCTCCCCAAAGCACAGCCACTTCACAGGCACCATTCCTTAGTCTGTCTCCCCGGCCCGGCCCAGCCCAGCAGGCTACCCCCTTCCCGAGGGCAACAGCTGCAGACAGCTGGGTGCTGGGATCACAGAGGAGGCGACAAACCACAGAGCACCCCAGCTGCGCACAGGTATTTGTGACCGTGCTGGGGCCGAGGCTGTCCGGCTCTGGCAGCAGGGTGCAGCCTACTGGGTAAAGGCCCTATAGCCAAGTGTAACAATGGGACTGGGTCCTCTGCAAGGCACGAGCCTGGGCTCTCTGGCACTAAAAGTGCAAGCCGCTGCCACTTGAGTTAAAGGACAACACTGAGCGGCAGATTCCTAAACCTCCCCTTGCGATCTGGCCCCTGGAAAGGGACGGAAACCCATCTGTCGTCACGTGGGGTAGACAAGCACATAATGGGGCAGCGCCCCCTGAAAGGCAGCATGGCAAAGTGGGTGCAGCTGTTTTAGAGTCCTGGGTTCTCTCCCTGCTCTGCCTGAAGTTACCTTGTCCAGCCCCTCAGCTGTCTTGAGAGCGCGAGCTGCCTCCGTCGCAGAGGGGGGCTCTGGGGATTGGTGGTGAAGGGTGCAGAAGACTCGAGCACAGTCTGTAGAAGGGCTGGGAGTTTGTTGCTCTTCTCCAGGCTAAGGGCTGTGCGGAGCAGTGGTGTAGCTAGGACAGGAAACCTGGGTGGGCCACGACTTTCAGGTGGGCAGGCAATGACGGGGGGTAGGAGGGATGGGGGTCTTGCCTCCCCCCACCCCGTCTAGCCGGTCCTTACCACTTAGCAGGTGCCAGAAGATGAGGCTGCCTGGGGCACACAGGCTGCAGAGCTCACCCATGGGGCAGAGGAAAGCCCCACCGCGGCTCAAACTCCAGCCGCCCCTCCTGCCCCTGGCTCAGTGTCCGTCCGCCCAGCTGGCCACATCCCCCTTGCTGGCGCTGCACGCTGCTGTTCCGGTCTCCGGCCCCAGCACTAGCCCTACCCAGACCCACCCACCCACTCTGACAAGCCTCCCCCCCCCCAACCTGGGACAACTTCTTCCCTCCCAGTCTGTGGATTCGGGGGGCTTTCGCCCTGATTTGGGTGGGCCTGGATACTAAGTGAGTGGGCCACGGCCCACTCAGGTCCAGCCATGGCTATGCCCCTGGTGCGGAGAAGGACTCTCCATCTGTACGCACTTCACTGGGCCTGCACGACAGCCCTTGTCTGATGCACAAGTGTCATGAGTGCTGCCGGGCTGTGTCGGACCAGCAGGGAACCTCGACAGCTGTGTGCCAGGGGAAAACGCTGAATTAGCCTTTTTACACTTTGTGAAAAAAGAGAAACATCTGAACCTTGTTTAGCCAGTCTCCATTAGCCGGCTCCCTCTATTCACCGAACTGGGGCTGACAGCCTGGCTCTGGGAAACAGGACTCAGGCCATCAGCCCTGGGTGGCAGGGTTTGGGCCGTGGGTCCCGAGCACTCGGTTCAGGCTGTGGGCCCTGGGGGACCGAGCTCCAACTGTCAGGTGAAGCCCGAGCCCTGCTGTGTGAGACTGACAGCAGGAGCCCCGCGGCCCAGGGCTGAAGCTCTCCAGATTATCTGAATTTCTGATTATCCGATCTGGGCCTGGTCCCCTTAGATCGGACAAACGGAGTTCACGGGGTTCCACTGGTCCCTCCCATATTGTGGTAAAGTTCCGTGTTTCATTTTAATTGCAGAAAAACACAGATTTTTATAAGTTTCAGAGTAGCAGCCGTGTTAGTCTGTATCCGCAAAAAGAACAGGAGTACTTGTGGCACCTTAGACACTAACAAATTTATTAGAGCATAAGCATAGATGCATCCGAAGAAGTGGGCTGTAGTCCACGAAAGCTTATGCTCTAATAAATTTGTTAGTCTCTAAGGTGCCACAAGTACTCCTGTTCTTTTTACAGATTTTTATGGGGTTTTTTAATCGGAGAATTTTGCGGGTTTTTTAATCACAGAAAACTCGGCTCCCTGCTGGTCAGCCAGCATGTATGTGTGTGTGGGGGGGGAGGGAGGACGGGGACTATGGTGCCCATTGCACGCCCTGGGGATGGCTCAGCTGCCTGAGAGCAGGACCTGCCTGCCGCTAACTCCCCTATCCCCACAGCATCAGTGGCCTGCCAGCTAGCAGGGTGCTGCCGAGTTCCTCAGTTGGCTGGGGATGGGGCAGCACGGCCCGGCAACTTTAGGCAGTGAGGACCCTTCCTGTCTCTCTTGCTTGTGCTGGGAGCCCCTGGCTCAGTGCGGGGAACCAGCCAGCTCCGCACAGGGTGGTCTGGGAGAAGCATGCGTTCATCAGGCCTCAGCCCACGGGAGGGGCTGCTGTTGCTGTAGATCAGAGGCCCATTACATTAGCGGTTATGTATAGATTAAAATAATATATGAGCTGTTGGTGTAGCAGACGCCTCGCTTCCACGAGGGCCTGATTAGATCATTATGGCACCCAGCCGGCTCCCCACCCAGCTGTGCTAGCTACACCTGAGCTCCCCCCTCTCCAGGCACCCCAGCAGGAGCGGGCTGCACCCACACAGCAGAGGGGCCGCAGAGTGACGCGGCCTGTCCTCTTCTAGGGCGTTGGGGGGAGCTCAGGGCCCCCTGCCATCTCAGGCTGCTGCATGGCAGGGGGTCCCGGTGTGGGGGGGTGTAGGGAGCAGGAAGTTTGGCTCTTCCAGCCTGAACCCTCCCTCTCCCCCCCTTCCAGTTGCTGGTAAGTGGCTGGCACGAGGCCCTTAGGGGCTGGCACTGCCCAGGCTAGGCGAAGCCCAGAGGCAAAGTGTTTGGCGAAATGGGTTGAGCCATCTAGGACCCCCCCCCCCCATGGGGATCAGTCCGCCGTTAACCCACGTCCCACCTAGAAAGGCAGGCAGGGCGCAGCCGCCATCTGGGGTAGGGCCAGGGGCTCTGCGGCTCTCAGGCCCCCAGCGTTGCAGAGGGAGCAGGGTCGGTTCAAATGCGGCCGGGGCAGTTGGGGTCCAGCAGGATCATTGCGCAGCGCCGGTGGGGCGGATTGAAGCGCCCGGCCTCTGTTCAGCCCTGCCCCGGCCCAGCGGGACTGTGCCCCGGGGCCGTACCGGGCTGAGCGCTCACCGCCCTGCCCCAGGTGCCCCCGCTGGGCGGAGCACACGGCCCGGCCCCGCTGCTCCTGCCCCGGGCGGAGCGCAGCTTGGCGGCGCGCCGGGGTGGGCGCCTCTTGCTCGCTCCGCCCCGGGCCGGCGGCTCCGCCCGCTGCCGGGCTGCGCCGGGGACTCGGCCGGGATCAGCGCCGCGGCTGGGCGCCGGCGGGGCTGGGGGGAGCGCGGCGTCGCCCCCGGCCGGCGGGGTAAGGGGGCGCGACGCGTTGCGGGACCGGCTCGCCGGAGGCTACCCTGGGGAGCGCGGCCCCGCGGGGGGCGGCAGGTGTCCCCGACGGGGTGGGGGGAGTCTGGCTCCCCATCCCCCCCGATCTCCTCCTCCCAGCGCGTTCATCCTCCAGGGTCCCTGCCCAGCCCCGCAAGGCCGGTCCCCCGCGCCCTTCTCCGGCCCCCGCTCCGTCCTCCCCGGCTTCCCACATCCACCTGCACCCCTTTCCGGGTCCCGCAGCCCCCCGCTCCCCTTGTACCCCTCCCCGCAGCACACTACACTCCGCCTGCCTCGCTACAGCGCCCCCTGGCTCCCTGCACCCCCTTCCCTGGCTCCCCGCAGCCCCTCCGTCGTTCCTTTCCTGATGGTGGTTTTGCTCATTTATTTTTGAGACGCAGACCGTGTTTCCCGTCTCCTCTGCGCTTGGGTCACCGGGAGTGTCACCGCCCCACACCCTCCTCGGGGTCCCTTCACGGCGACCTCCAAGCGCTAGGCAGCCCCTCCTGCACCAGCGCTACAGACTGCCTCACTCCCACAGAGAGGTAGGGATCCCCCCATAGCAGAGCCATCCAGCAGCTGGTCCCTAGCTGTATCTGTGACTAGCCCAGCGGTTTGGTGTCTGCTCAGCCAGAGGCGGGTGGCTGGGTGGTGGGAGGTACCTTTAACTCCCAGGAAGCCCCAGGGGGTGCTCTCCTGTTCCACTTTCCTCACAGCCCCCTCTGTGGGTTTTCACTGCCTGCCGGGAGCCAGAGGCTGGAGGAGGTTTGTAAACATGCCGTGACGCACTTTGCTTCGCAGCCCCCAGGCAGATGGAGAATTGTCCCTATTTTACAGCTAGGGAAACTGAGGCACAGAGGCGGACTCGTCCAAGGTCACTCAGCTGATACTGGCCTATCAGGGTGCTGAGCACACACGATCCCAGCTGTAAGGGGGCTCAACCCCTTTGGAAATCCATCCCTGGGACCCCCTGAGCATAGTGATCCCCAGGCCCCTGCCCTAGCCACTGAACCCTACTCCCCTCCCAGAGCTGGGAACAGAACCCAGGAATCCTGACTCCCGGTTCCTTCCCTAAGCACTAGACCCCACTCCCCTTCCCATAGGTGAGACTAGAACCCAGGCATCCTGGCTTCCAGCTTCCTGCTCCGGGCAGTGACAGAAGGTCTCGGAGGCGAGTATGTGAGGAATGTGCTGGGGGGGGGGGTGTCTGTGTGTGAAAGCAGAACCGCAGGGGGCTTGTGGGGAGCACTTGCCACGAGGGTCCTTTCCCAGGCGGCCGTGCGAGCCCATCTGGGCAAAGAGCCCTCTGCTAGCTGGGCGCCTCTGCTAAAGCTCTTGAGAGCTGGCAACTCTGGAGGTAATTCCCCTCCCCACCCCCAGAGGAGATGGCTCCTGTCCTTCAGCCGGGGGCTGTGCTGGGAACTGCAGCAGATCCCCCAGCTCCACCCACACCCCCACGAAGAAGCCATTATAAACCAGCCCTTTCTCTTTTGCCTTGTCCAGCTAGGGCCCAGTCCCTGCTTGCTGGCAGCAATTCCCTCAACCCTGGCTCCTGAGAACCCAAACGCTGCATGACTGGTAATTGAGCTCCAATCGCTCCGGCCTGCTGGCTCCGCGTTGCTGCGCCTGCTTTTAGAGGTGGGGTGAACTGAAGCAGAGAGCGGGGAAGGGATTGGCCAGGAATAGAACCCAGGAGTCCGGGCTCCCAGCTGCTCCCGGGCCATGGTTTCACACTGCCTGTTACTCAGGCTCCTGTCCAGGCAACGCTGTTAGGAAATGCCTGGCCAGACGGCCGGGGGAAGAGCTGAGGAGGCAGAGCGATGCAGAGAGGCGGCTCCGGAGCTGCAATGGAGGATGCTCTTGCGCCGAGAGGGGCTGGGGACAGGAGCAGACAGACAAGGCAGAGTGCAGCAGGGGCGAGTCCTTGGGCCGGTTTCTTTGGCAGGGCAGGGGACGACTTGGGCAGGGCCATTAGCGCATCTAATCGTGGCCAGGAACATGAAAGGAGTTGCCCCGCTCCGGCCTGGGAGACTGGTCAGCGCCAAGGGAGCTATTCCTGGCTCTGGGTTTATTCCAAGCCATTATCTACTAGCCCTGGGGGTTTGCTTGCTGGCTATCGATGACAAGATGTAGCTACATCCCCTCCCCGGTGAGCCGGCACCGTGCTCCATAGGCTGCGTGATGCCTGCGGCCCAGCGCACTGAGCCAGCAGCTGGCCTCCATTCTGCTGCCTCCATTCCCAGGGCTGGGTTTCTGCTGGGCGGGAGTGTGGGAGGGGAATCGTCACCCGCTTCCTGGACCCCGTGGATCTTGCCGAGCTGTGGAATCCCAAGGGCTGTTAATCATGAGAGAGGCTGTTTTAATGTGCCTGTGAAATCTCGCCAGAGCTCAAGGGTCTCGTGGCTGTTTGTGCCCCAGTGAAATGCAGCCACCTCTGGGGTTGAGCTCTGCAGACAGCAGCGAGGAGAGGGGGAGCCTCTGGTAGAGCAGGCAGGGACAGGATTCAAAAGGGGCTTCCTAGGTGTGCCATGACTCTACCAGCCTGTGCCACCCTGTAGAATTGTATTTTGCTAATCCATTCAGGGGTGCCCTCACCAGGCACTGACCGAGAAAGACAGGCCTGGCCATGTGGGGGGAACTAGCCAATGATAGCACATTCAAATATTACCCCGGGGAGCTCTCAGCTCAGCCTCGCTCCCTTAAAGCAAGTGAAACCAGCCTGTCTCTTCCCACTGCCCAAGAAGCCTTATCTGATGGCTAGAGCACAGGGCTGGGAGTCAGGACTCCTGGGTTCTATCCCCAGCTCTGGGAGGAGGGTGGGGTCTAGTAGTTAGAGCTGGGGGCTGGAAGTCAGGATTCCTGGGGTCTGTTCCTGGCTCATGCTGTGATCATGGGCTTGTCCCTTCATGTGCCTCAGTTTCCTCATCTGTCCCAAGGGGGTAATGGAGCCTCCTGGCATCAGAGTGCAGGGCTCTGCTTCCCCGTTTGCAAAATGCTGTGAGGGCCTGTCCTGGATCCCAGGATTGGTGACACACCCCAGCTTTGGGACAGGCCCTTGGAGGGACCCCTTTAATGTGCCGGACCCCCAGGGGGTCTCACTTCCTCCAGGGCAGCCTTGGGGCCTCCCAGCCTCCTGAGACTGACCCTCGGGGCTCTAGCCCTCCTGCCCCACCTGGTGCAGCCGGGTCCTCTCCTCAGGGCCGGATGCTCCCCCCCACCTCCCCCAGCCCAGCTGTGTCCCCTGGAGCCCAACACCGGAGTCCTCAGTCCGGGGCCCTGCCAAGCTGTAGGTCAGGCTCTGTCTGTCTGTGTCTGCCGTCCTTGGTGAGAGCCTCAACTCCCAGCAGCCAACTTTTATCCACACACCTTCCCTGTCCTTTGTTCTCTGCTGGGTCTGTGCCCAACTTCCCCAGGGGTGAGGGGGTGGAATCCATCTCCCTGGGTGCTGGGTGTCAATGTCCTGGTGTTTGGCTTTGCCATTGTCTTCACGGATTCTCCATTGATAAGGGGTCGCCTCGACCAGTCCTTTTTAATGACCCATCCTGGCTCAGGCAGCCAGCGACATTGGTACCTAGGTGTCCCCACCTGCTCTGGGAGCAAATAGTCCCTTCCCGCACTGGGTAGCCATGCGAAATACAGGGGAAACTGAGGCACACAGGGGCTTCCTAAAACATTATAGAAAATTCCCCCTTGGGACTCTGGGCCAGACGGGGAGGGGGGTTGAGCCCAGCCCTAGGCTGTGTGGGGGACTTGGGGCCTGCTGCTGGGCTGGATGGGGGGACAGCAAGGCTGGCAGCGCAGGCAGGATGGCACGGGTGCCAGCTCTTCTGCCCTTCTGGTGAGGTTTGGTTGCTAATCGAGACGTGGCAGGAGGCTCTCCCATGGGAGCGAGTCCAGGACTGGGACGCCATGGCTAAAGAGAGGAGGGACCCCCTGAGCCCTAGGCTGGATTTCACTGTCACAGAAGGACCAGGGTCCTTTCCTAAGGGTGGGTGGGAAGACGGGCAGGGCTGTGGGAGCTGACTGCCCCTGTGATACTAGCATCCAGAGGGCTGCTCCAGGCTGGGCCATTGACACATCCTGGCAATTATAGGAACAGCCCAGCCCTGGTGGGTCTGTGCAGGACCCTGCTCAGCCTGTTGCTGGTGGTACGGTCCCTGTGACATCCCAGCTTGTGTGTGTAGGAGACGTGCTGCCCCCTAGAGGCTGGGCCTGCTACTGCATTGTGGAGCTGGAGAGCCTGGGTTCTAGTCCCAGCTGGGTCTGGATACGCCTGGGTGGGGCCTGGAGCATGCGGGCAGTTATCAGTCAAGGGGGGCTGAGACTTTTGGTAAACCCCTCATCCGCCCAGGGGTGGGGGCTGTGACCCAGTGGCTTAGGGCAGAGCTGACAGTGGGGCAGGGGTTAGTTTCATGCTGCGGGGACGGACCAGGAAGAGCGGCTGAGCCTTCCCAAGGTGGATGGGAGCTGGCACCCCCTGGCTGGCGGTTAGGGCAGGGGCCATGTCAGGACTCCTGTCTCTGCCACTGGCTTTGTGTGCCCTTGGACTGTGCTTGGGACTGAGAGGTGGAGGACATGGGCATGGGGGCTGCTCCCCTCTTGCCAGGGTTCCCTCACCCTGGCCGAAGAGGACCTTGGTCTTGGAGCAGTGGTGGGAGCTGGTGCTGGGCTTGGTGCAGACGAGGGGCCGGAAGCTGTGTGGGGAGCTTGGCCCTGGGGGTGCAGGCTAGCAGGGGTCCCCTCCCAGAGGCTGCAGTCGGTGCGAAAGGGCCCTGACAGCCCTGGAGCTTGCTCCCTTCCCTGCATTGCAGGTCTGGGGCCTCCAGGCTTTGCTGCCACACATGCACCCCGCTCCCTCGGCAGCCAGCGGGCGTCCCTCCCTCAGGGCCGGATCCTCTCACCCCCGAGCGGCCCCACTGCAGGGGCTGGATCTGCAGGCTCCCAAAGTCACCTTTCCAGGCTGCACCGGGCTGACAGTGCATCTCCCTCATCCAGTGCAGGTGACTCTGGCACAGGCCTCAGTGCTCCTGGGGTGGGGGGGAGCAGAGCCAGGGCTCCACAGCGCAGGGCAGGGGGAGAGCAGAGCTGGGGCTGCGGGAATAGTGGGGGAGCAAATCTGGGGCTCCACAGGGCAGGGTAGGTGGGGGGAACAGATCCGGGGCTCAGCAGGCTGGGGGGGATCAGAGCTGAGGCTCTGCGGGGCGGGGGGAGCAGAGCTGGGGCTCGGTGGGGTGCAGGAGGAGCCAGGGCTTGGTGGGGCAGGGGGGAGCAGGTCTGGGGTTTCGCAGTGCAGGGGGGAGCAGAGCTGGGGCTCTGCAGGGCTGGGTGGGGAGCAGGACTGGGGAGCGGAGCTGGGGCTCTGTGGGGTTGGGGGGAGCGGAGCTGGGGCTCGGTGGGGTGGGGGGAGCAGAGCCAGGGATCCATTGCAGGAAACATACAGGGCTTATTACTGTGGTTGCTGAACATACCCCATCTCCCCCCCCCCCCCCCATCTCTCTTTGTCTCCAGCCTGGGCTGTGGCCGGCTGGGGGAGGCAGGGGCCAGCTTGGTGGGTGGGGGCACAGGGGGCACTTGGGTTGGCTCGACCCACAGGCTAGATGAGGTGGAGGCAGAAATCTCTGTTCCCTGTCCCCCACCCCAACTAGCGCTCTGTGGTGGGGGTGCTGGGAGGGGCGATCCATGGGGCTGTGCTGGGGAGGGTGGGCTGGGTGGAGCCTCTGACCAGATAAAGCCCCTAATCCCCTGGGAGGGAGCGTGCAGATGTTTGCTCTGGCCCTGTGCCCCGTGGCTCAGCGCCCCTAATCTGCTGTGGAAGCCCCGTGCCGGATTAGCTGGGCGGAAATCCGCCTGCCGTGGTTAACCCTCAGTGCTCCCGGCTCTGCCCGTCAGCAGGACCTGAGGGCGGGGAGGCAGGGGGAATGAAAGGCTAGGAAACAGGTGGCCAGGGAGCCAAGGGGGCATGTGCAAATTGCCGCCCAGGGCTGCATGGGGCTGGGAGGGAACTGTGCCCATAGGCAGCACCCTGAGCTCAGAACAGTAGGAACCCGCAGCGAGACGGCCCCTGGGTCCTGGCCCAGAGAGTGCCAGGCCTGTACCCAAGCTCTGTTGGGGGGGCTTGTGGCGGTTGCCCTGCGGCTCTCCTTGTGCTCCCCTCGGAGAGGAAGAGTGGCCTTGTGCCTAGCGCGCTCCTCTGTCCGTTTAGGAGACCTGGGTAGTTCCCTGGTTTGCCGCAGATGTTCTGTTTGAGCTTGGCCAAATCCGACCCATTGCTCCTTTCCAGAGTCAGCCGCCCCATGGGGCCCTGCAGCAGGGTCACACTGCGGGGCAGTGGCAAGAAGGGAACCCAGGAGTCCTGACTCATCCCTGCTCTAACAACAAAGCCACACTCCCTTCCCTGCTGGACATGGAATAGAACCCGGGGTCCTGGCTCCTTGCCTGCCTCCCTGCCCTAGTTAATAGGTCTCTGGGTCGCAGCTGCTTATCTGGTTACAAGGAACATGGGTGTGGCTGGGGGGATGTGTCGGGGTGGATCTGGTCTGTGTGACTGAAAGCGAGGGTCCCAGCGTGGGGTGTGGTGT